GACATATAACCTCCTCTCTGGGGGATGGAGCAGTGGGTGAAGGGAGACATCAGATGGTGTAAGATCTGACAAAATAAAAATTTATAAATTATCAAGGGTTCATGAGGGAAGGGGAAGCGGGGAGGGAGAGGAAAAAGGAGCTAATACCAAGGGCTCAAGTACAAAGCAAATGTTTTGAGAATGATGATGGCAACAAATGTGTAAATGTGCGGGACACAATGGATGTATATATGGATTGTGAGAAGTGTTGTACAAGCCCCCAATAAACTGATTTAAAAAAGTGTTTGAACACTTTTTCATGATTGAGCTTTATTAATTTCACATATATTTATATGTGAAAACTTTCAAAAATCTAAATTATCACCTGAGTCTGTATTTATATAACTGTAACTAATCCACCAACCCCAGTCCTAACCTAATGCTAATAAAATGGTGTTAGAACCTTAGTGTTTGGAGGACTGCATCCACACCCAACTAAACTCATTGCCAGCGAGTTGATTGTGACTCATAGAGACCCTGAACCACAGGGCAGATCTGCCTCGGGGGTTTCCACAATAACCATTTAAGAGAGTAGAAAGGCTCATCTTTCTCCCACTAGTAGCTGATAGTTTCAAACTGCTGACCTTGTGGTTAGCAACCCAAGGCATAACCACTAAGTCACAAGGAACTGTTCTGATAAAATAACAGTTCTGTCTTTTATCAGGTGACTTCCAAATCAATTAACTAACGATTTTGTGCTTGTTTTTGGTTTTGTTTTACTGTGCAAGCAGCTGCTTAATACCTACTTCATAGGATTATGAAAATTGGAATAAGTTAATAATAATGTGGTTAAGGTATTTCTGCACACATAATAAATAAGATAGCTATATGAACTGTAGAAATCTTACAAATAGAGCCCATGTTTACTTCTTAATAGATGAGCTCTGTCTTTGTGGGTCACCAATTAAAGCAGATGGAATTACTTAGTCAGTGCTTCTTGTAATGAAAATTTTTTAAAACTTTTTTTATAGTTTTATTAGGGGTTCATACAACTCTTATCACAACCCATACATACATCAATTTGTACATTC